AAGGTGACCACAAGCAGCAGATGTCCACCTACACAACACGACACATGCCCATATAAGTCAAAAGACAAAACAAAGGAGTTGGAGCACTTTCTTGCTGCTCAAATGCATATGGTAAATATTGCATATGGTAAATATTGTTCTCTTCTCTGGCATTATTCCATCTTGACCTGCCCTCTTCCAGGGTGGCATGATTGACAGAATTGAGGGCAACATGGACCAGTCAGTGGGCTTTGTAGAGAGAGCAGTGGCCGACACTAAAAAGGCAGCCAAATTTCAGCAAGAGGCGCGCAGGGTAAGTTGAGACCGATTTAGCGGCAACATTGATGTAATGACCTTTTTAACGTTGTAACCGTCACGTAACTGATAGATTTTAATATATAACATGTATTTACTGAGTGATAGTCTGCTATTCAAGTACAGTCCATTTACCATTTAACCATAAAGCCAGGAATTGCGTTTACCTGTGATATAAGAATTACTTCTGGAGGCCACTTTGAAATTGGTCATTTTGTTTGCTTTTTGGTTGTCTCTTGTAGAATGAATATCTCCACACTTGACTAGAGGCATTTATAAAGAAGTCCTTGTATTCATTGTCATCATTGTTTTCTCATTCAAAAACATGTCTCTTGACCATTGTCGATGATGGGTCTTTCTCAGGAAACCAACTTTGGTCAAGCATATTCATTTTGCATTTTATATTCTATACACAAAGTTGGAATGAAATGACCCAAATAGTGAATGTAACACTATCTTCCTCTCTGTCTCTATCCTTTACCCTTCTGTTCTCCAGAAACAAATTATGATCTTCTGCTGCTGTGTGATCTTGGCCTTGATACTGGGTTCGTTTGTCTTCAGCTTCTTCAAATAGAACACCAGAATGAGGCCACCCACCAGCTGAGTCCACACAGGATGAGGCAGAGCAGCATTGCTGTCAGATTGTCACAATATAGAGCCTGGGCTCAGTTTACTGTCATTTCAACTAATTCACAATAGAAATAGAGGCTGCAAATATTTGCATTCAGTCTCAGTTATTTCTGGATCTGTTATGACAACTTTCTTAACTTTCTCATGGTGCCCCGTATTGAATTAATTTAGACAGATATCCCTGTAACATGACTGCATGACCACCTCACTGCCCAACATCATGGTGCATATATATGCAGTCGGTATCATAAGTATTGAGGCCGCTGTTATTCTTTTGGACATTTCTCTTATTTGTTTGGAAGCCATACTACTGTGCTTATGATATCGACTGCATCTAATGATACCCGCAGCTGCTATGACTCCACAGTGGGCTTTTATTCAAATCATTTTCAATTCAATGAAGGAGGATTGTCACTTTCCTTAAAGAATTCATATATTGGAGTTTTGATGTTGAACTGATTCAAAGATGATTGATGGTTGACGCTCTATGATCTGAAAATAGGAGAAATTTCTGAAGGTGTTGGATTAGAAATGGGAATAAATACAGCCCTGCTTTATTTGATTACACTGACACTGCCTTGGAGGTGTTTTACTGCTTCATATCTTTGTTTGTATATGTATTTCAAAGACTGCTATCATTTTAACTATAAAATATGTGTATGTATGTTTCCCCCTCTTTTTTTAAAGGCCCATGTGTTCTTGTTCCATGTCATGGTTTTACTCTGGTTGGTTTTGGCCATTTGCATCTTTTCCTTTTGCTTTAGATCCACATATGCAGTCGGATACACTGCACTCTTGTAATGTACGCCTACTCTTTATCCATGAATTTGATCTTTTTGTGATTTGAGACTAGATTTGGTCACTGGCTCATGCAGAGATCAGCAAAAGAAAATGTCACTTTTGTTGAGATATTGTGAGGAAATATTTTTTGGAGCGATACAAGCGGTGGTGTTTTCTTGTACTTGTCTTAAGTGTCAAGCTACAACAGGAGCACCTGCCAAAAAATTCCTATGGATGTCACACTGTATGTCTACCTCTTTCTTCACTGGCTCATGCTGCCATCAAGTGCCCCTTGTAAGCTCTCTCTCTCTGACATCCAAAATTGACAAAGAAGACTTTGATACTGGAGGCGTTCATTCATTTTTGCGTCAAAATGAAATGGATAAAATGTATTTCCCAACAATAAGATAACATGACATCTGGGTAACTTGGACTTTCCACTTATAACCTGGGTTGTTTATTTGACCTGTAAATATGTTTTCTGACTTGAATTCAGGGTCACCAGTTGTGGATGTCCACATGCCAGCAGGGGGACCCCACTTCCATAGCCAGGTTCAAAGAAGGCTAAATGTATTTCTCACAAAAGTAACCTTGATAGTTAAATCGGATACTACTTAAAAGTAATATTCCATTGTCTCAAATGTGGATACAAGGAGACAGGTAGGACATTAGGAAAGACTAATAGTTAACCATGGTTCAGTTGACACATCAGCCATTCTGTTCACCATTATTATTATTATTATTATTATTATTATTATTATTAGCTCGTGTGACACTTGTAACATGTAACGTTACGTGATTTTGTGCGTGCTTCCTTTCCTGCTTGCAGTATTTTAGCCCCGTCAGTTTGTAGCAATTCATGATATAATTGTTCTATTGTTTTTTTGTAGTTTTGTCCACTGTTGACTAATAATAAAATAAAATTGTTATTTATTTTGCGTAGAACTGATTTATTTACGTTGTGTTACAATCGCATTGCGCATTTGGCATGTTCCCCTCGCTCGCCGTACCAAAGCTGGACGCGTTTGAGAGACAAGTCACTGCCACCAATCACAAAAGCGATGCAACATTTTTTTAGCCAATCGTTGATGGCGCATGTAAAGTACACTTCCATTTATCGACCTGCAAGCACTTCCTCTTTGAGGTGAATGCTACAAAACGTGTCTCTCCGATGCAAGCCTTTGAGAGCTAAAACACCGGACACAGAGGACATCGCACATCTCAGATTACTGAAGGCGTTTGTAAATTGACGGACCTGTGCGGATATGGGGGTAAGCATTGTCAAACGCATCATTTTTAAGGCAATTCTCATCATGTATGAGAGATGACTAGTTATATTGGATAATGGGGTGGTGGTCAGTGTGTTTGTATCATCGCGTGATTGGCTTCTTCTCTTGACGGATTGTGGGTTTGTCCAGTCAGTAACGTCATTGGGATGTATTAACCAATGAAATATGAGGCAGTTTTCGAATTGCGCTGTTATTAGCTGCTTGCCAGCTACTTTATGTCTATTGGTTATACTTGTCCAATCAAAGTTTACAAATAATTTGCGTGAGTGACACTGCTGTAGTCCAATGAATGCCTCGCCAGGATAGCTGTGATTGGCCCAATGCACTGTTGTGGGCGGGATATGGGCATGTTTTGTGATGGGGATGGAAAATGGCGGCTGTTCAGAAACCGCATCAACTTTATACCATACTAGGAATAACAACAGCAACAATTCATTTAACTGTGGGCATTGTAAATATCTGCATCCTGCTATTTAATACGACTTCAGCTCATGTTGACTTTTCTATCGATACAAGCAGGACGCGTTCCTAAAAGGTAACGTTAGCTGGACACGACTTGGAATGGTGAAGGCAAGAAACAAAGCTCGAGTATTTAGACAGTTTTACTTTTATGATAATGGTAATTTTATGAAACAAGTTCACTTCCATTCAGTGTAGTGCAGTAATTGGCCTCTTTAGATGAGTCGGACTCCAGGTTAAGCTTTAAAGCTTCCCACCGAACCTGTGTGAACTCACGGAACGATGAGCGTTAGTGAGTTTAAGAGCTTTTCAAAGACTACAAATATCGTTGCTTATTGTCATCTCAATTAGCCAGTCAGAAGACTGAGACTCAACTCTTTTGTTATAACTTAAGCAAAGTTAGCTAACAAGTAAAGCCACTATTGTAAACACGCGTTGTAGCTGATTGTTTACTGTCTGCTGGAATACATTCAAGTGTAAATCGAGGCGCTACTGTAGTACTATGCTTCGTTAAATACCGTTAACCTACCTGCGTTTGGTGGCAGAGGTTGGTTTTCCAGTGATAATGGATGATTCCAAGCCAAGGTACAGCAAAAGGCTGGTAAGTTTAAAATATATTTGGTTACATTGGTCCTTATTTTCTCCCTTATGAACACAGCTTTCATTTGTTAATTTACCATCTAATGTAATGTCACATACAAGAAATGGGGGCTGTGTGTTTGCTTTCATGTTTTCTATAGATTGGTATATTAGTTGGATATGGCAGCTATAAAAACAATGATGAGGTCTGGTATAAAAAAAAAAATCACATTTCCCACAAAGTTCAGACCCTTGCCTAATGTCTTTGGTTTTATTGTTAAGTTGGGATTTTTATTTACATGCTGTCTGTGTCTACCCAGAAGGAAATGGCTTTAAAAAATAGCTCCCATTGTGTTCATCATGTTTGTGTAAACATGTTTGTTGGCTGATAAATGACAAGAAATTGAAGTACTGAAATGCTAAATATATGTTTTGTTTGTCCACCAGAGTAGTAACAAAAACAAAAATATTTTAAAGGAACTAATTTTAACATAATAAACATTAATATTTCAACTATTTGCTATGTAAAGATAAAGTGGAGTAATGTCTGCTTGAGCAGAGAATGAAGTCGCTCTCAGACTGGGGGTACTTCTCAAGTCTCTTAAGTGTCGTTTCCTCGCTCCTCGCTCCTCGATCCTCACTTGAACCGGAAGTTGTTTCTGCGCCGCCATATTATTGACAGCCGTCCCAAAGCTCTAATGTAGCTCGGAGGAGCGAGGATCGAGGATGGAGGAGGGACCTCGGAGGAGCCATGAGCGAGGAACCACGAGAACAGACTTTCAGGAAGTCTTTTAACGGCCGACACGCCCCCTCATTGTTCATCAGTTATGTGATTGGACGCTGTAGCCGATCGGACTGACTGACTGGAGTTTGATATCAGAGTGAAGACAGATGACAGAATAAACTCAAGCTTTATATTTGATTAGGTTTCTGATTCACCATCTGGTTTAAATCAATGTTCATTGTAGTCTGAACAACAAAACGACCACAAACAACTTTCTTCATTTATTAGAAAGATTTGTGTTTTCATGATCTGATATTTCCCTCAATAACTTTTGTTATGAATACAATTAAAGTCAGAGGGAGCTGGAGAGACGAAACACTTTTTACATCATTCCTGAGTGTTTGAAGAGTTTTATCATTTAAGAGAAACAATAATCATATTCTGGGTTATTTAATAATGACGCCACATTCACAATTTCAAAACGTACAGACGCAAATAATTCATAAATAAGACGATCGCATTCCGCCGATAGAAATCGATCCTGCGCTTATACACAAAACACAGTTTGTTAACAGACTACAGAGAGAAACACCTCTACAGTGATGATAACTGTGTCTTTATTAGTATTATTTATTATTATTAAGTACAGTGACTATGTGAACAGACACAAACTTATCAAAAGTCTCTCCAGCTGTTAAAGCCGACTGACAGCTGATCCAGCTGTGATTAGCTGATCCTCCGTCATCAGAAACAGACGTCGCTTCACGTGACGCAACTGAGGAAAGGACGTCTCATGTCTCTTAAAACATATTTCCTCGTTTCTCTCTCCTTGCATGGTTTCCTCCATGCATCCCTGGTGGGAGGGACTAAGACGCAAGGAAAGGACCCAAGTGAGGGAAACGGGGATGCAATTAAGAGACTTGAGAAGTACCCTGTGTTGTTACCCGATCTTCTCTTTGCTTTGTTGACGTAACTGGGCAGCTGTACGTGTTTTCAATGCATTTTCGTGCATGTGAGCTGTGTGCATGCGAGCGTGCCCCACTGGTTAGCTCCAAGCAGCAACCTCAGCAAGTATTTGTATTAGTTTGTTTCTGCACTGTACTTTTGCTCTGGTTTATGCTCTTAGATGCTTGTTTAAAAAAGGAGATGCACTTATGACTTGTGGTGACTAGTAGTTCTCTTGAATACCTAAAATACCTGGTGCCTTAAACTTGCATTTTCTCTCTATGAGGCCATCAGGTGACGATTCCTCTCGTTATGAGAAGTCTGGTTGTATAGAAGTCTATGAGAAAAGGACTCGTACTTCTCTCTTTGATTTATTACCTCAGTAAACATGAGTTTATGGTCTCAATCTCAAGTTTCAAGTCTTCTTCAATACAGCATGATGTTAATTTAGTAAATTATGGTCCATTTGGAGTCAAATAGACCATAAAGCAGAGTATGCGTTAGGGAGAAATATTATTTGACGTGAACTCTGACTGTTTAGTTCAGCCCTTGTCCAATCGGCTAACATGGTTGGCAGGTGATGTGTGTATACCAGTGTAATGGCTTCACAGTGATTGGATGACAGATGAAGAAATGGCCTGAGATGCTCCGTTCAGTATAATTTAGTTACATGACATATTTAAAAATTCAGTGATGTAGTTTTTCTGTAACTTGTTATGCAATACAACTGGTAATTGATTGCTTGCTGTGTTTTGCAATGACGCATACTGAACAGCTGAGGTTTAGTTGGAAATGGTATTTAACATTCTGGAAAACTGTCTTTCAGGTTTCTCCTTTATATCCAGGTATTATCTCTTTACCAGCTTACCTGATCTGTTTGTTGCCGTTTTTAACAGCTGTAGGTCATGATATCCATCAGTGGGAGAAACAATTTAAAAATGTGTCTTAGCCTTGAGTGATACCAGGTGAACAATGACATCATCAGGAGAGAAGATATCTGCAGGTTAAAGTATTAAAAAGCATTTAGCTTCCTCAAAAATGTCTGAAATGTATTACATTTAATATACAAAGTTTAGTCTAGTTATATAATGTTTAAGTCTGAAGTCTTGCCTCTTGGCCCCTGTAGACCATGCATGTAAAATATATTTATTCCCTAAACCACTTTTGACGTTTGGCATTATTTAAACTTGATCATTTAACATTTGATTTGATGAGACCTGGTATCTCAATGCAGCATGGCAGTTGAAATGAATCCAAGCTGGCTCTGAAGTTCACAGGGGTTTATATGCCACCAGTGCACTGTATTTAACCCAACATGGTTGAATGTAGACATCAGTGAAGAGGTTGGAGAGATTATAGAGTACAGGAGGGTGGGACATCCTTGTGTCACCTGTCATGACCTGGGACCATCCAAACCAGTATTTTCACTTAAATAAATAGAACCACTGTTTTAAAGCATTGTTAAGAAATGTGATTAGTGTGGTTGAAGAGGAGCACCTTTTTAATGTAAAATAAGTCACTACTTGTACCTGATGGGTGCTTCCATCCATCTGTGTGTCCGGGTTTGGTCTCCACTGAGACTATTTTCAAATGTGGATTTTTTCAACTTTGTCGTAGTTGAGTTCCAGCTTTTCAGTGCTTATGGGGTTTCCCATTTCACCGCATATTGTTATTTAATATTCGGTTACTATTAAGAAGTAATTGCTGTCTTAATGTTTTGAGCAACTCTTGGTAGAGTTTTAATCTCATTTCACGGACTGTAGTTTGTCATCAAATCTGTTGTTTAGGGAATAGAAACGGGTTTCATTTGATGGTTCCAGTACTGGTTCTGTGGTCTCTTCCTTCGA